CATACTTTGGATATGTTGCAAGGAGGGACCTTTGAGAGGGATGTCATGGTTGGGAGGCTGGAGGGATAGCACAGAAGAGAAAGACCCTTAATGAGATGGATTGATTCAGTGATTGGGGTAGACAATAAGATTGGCACAGGATAGACCAGGGTTTAGGAGTGTTGTACATTGTGTCGTTAGGAGTTGCAGGCAACTTGATAGCACATAACAAGAAACTTTTGAGAGGTGTGCTTGTGTCTACATTATACTTTTGCTGTATTCTAAGTGGTTTTGTCATGTTCAGACTCTTTGAGTCTGGGGCCTCATTCAGTCTTTATGCTCAAAGATTTTACTTTGGGGTACACAGGTCCAAAACCCACCTAAGGCATAACAAGTTTGGAACGGGCCCAGGGTGCCACAACAAGAGTTGAGTGTCTGAACGGTTTCTGTTCATCACTGTGGCTTCCATTGCCAGCTGTGACAGATTATTCAGCAGATTAGTCATAAAGTCCTCATAAAGTCCACCTTCACAAATTATTTGCTCAGCTTAGAGACTGAACAGGTATTCAGAAAGGATACATCTCTGAACACATGCCTTTCTTGATTTTAAACATGCAGTATTCCCTTGCTCTGTTTGGACAACTGCTCCTTGGTATAGATTTTGCACGAGTACAATTAAGTGTTCTAGGATTCCCATTCTTCTCAATGTTAGCCACAGTTTGTTATGATCCACACAGTCAAATAAATGCCTTTCCATTGTCAGTAAAACACAGAAATCATTCTGGTACCCTCTGCTTTCAACTGAAATTCATCTGACACCAGCAGTGATATCCCTGGTGCCACAGCCTCTTCTAAATCCAGCCTGAATCTCAGACAATCCTGTCAATGTACTGTTCTACCTGTTTTTAAATGATCTTCATCAGGATTTTACTTGCACATTTTATTAATGATATTTCTTGCTAATTTCTGCATTTTGTTGGATCACCTTTTTTGAAATGGAAACAAATACGAATCTCATCCAGTTTCTTGGCCAGATGACTGTCTTCCACACTTCTTGGCACAGCCTGGTGAGTAGATATAGGAGTGCATCTCTGTGTTGTAACATATTAGTATTTCATCAATTCTTGGGACATATTTTTTTTTTTTGCCAATTATGTCAGTGCAACTTGGACTTCTTCATCACCATTAGTTCCTGATCATACTTCCTGAAATGGTTCAGTTTCAGTCAATTCTTTTTGGTACAGTGCCTCAATGTATTTTTTCCATCTTCTTTTGATGCTTCCTAGATCATTCTGGACTTTGCCCAGGGCATTCTTCAGTATTGCAATTCAAGGCTTAGATTTGTTTTTCAGTTCTTTCAGCTTGGGGAATGCCAAATGAGTTCTTCCCTTTTCATTTTCCAACTCCAGCTCTTTGCACATAGCATTATAATCCTTTGTCCTCTTGAGCTGCCCTTTGAACTCTTCTGTTCATCTCCTTCTCTTTGGCAACCCACCCCTTTGTTTTGGCTTGTTGACATTCTAGTGCAATTTTCAGAGTCTTCTGTCACATTCATTTTCATCTTTTGCCCATCTTTGTAATGACCTTTTGCTTTCTTCATGGATAATATCCTGGATATCAGTCTGGTAGACAATTCAAATTCGCCAGCCACTTGAGAGAAAGATTAGCGGTCTGCTTTAACGATTAACAATGTGGGGGTAACTGAGTTGGAACTCACTCCATGACACTGAGTTTAATGCTTGAGAGCTTCCATATGTTAAGGAAGGCAGGCTGTCTGATCTTGCTCTATGAGTTTTTTTTTTTTTAAATATGGAACGCTTCACGAATTTGTGTGTCATCCTTGCGCAGAGGCCATGCTAATCTTCTCTGTATCGTTCCAATTTTAGTATATGTGCTGCCGAAGCGAGCACGCTCTATGAGTTTTGAGAAAGAAGTGGGGAAAAATACTGATCACATCATAGACCAATTATTGTCAGTGAAAGCAAAGAAGATGCACTTGGAATTTTCATGTACTGCAATCATGTGTTGACTAACTAGCTTCACTTGTATTTTTAAATTTATATTATGGCCATATTAAAGATGGCAAAAAGATGAGGATCAGGTATTTGGCTAGTGGTAAAATTTCAGTGCTTGTCAGAGGGGCTGTTTTCCATAGGTACAGTATCTATGGTAGTGTGTAGACCCAACATCAGGAGTTGTCACCCTATATCCCTTCCACCATTTGGTTTTCAGTGTATTCTGACTCTTAGAGACTCTATAGGACAAAATAGAAATGGTCCAGTTCCCACTACTATAAGTCTTTAAAGAAGCACTATTGGATTTTTCCTCTCAGAGCAGCTGGTGGGTTCAAATCCTCAACATTTCAATTAGCCTTTGAGTGTTCTAACCCTATGTCTCTAAGGCATCTCTCATACTTTCTAGTATCTTTCTTTGTTTTATAAGCCTTTAGGGCTTACAATGGGATTAGAGATGCCTCCCCTGATAGGCCTAGCCAACTGCCTCAAGTGGTAAGGAGAGTAGGAGGGCAACACATAATGCATTGCAAGAGGAGATAGGTACTGGAGTCCAAGCTAAAAACATGCAAAACAACCCCCAGTGAAAACACAGGATTCTCAGTTCAGCAAATATTTATTGAATTCTTCAATTCCTCTTTATCAATCCCTGATCTTGGGCCTGGGGACATAAAGTTCAGTAGGACAGATTTCTAGTCCTCTAGGCACTATCAGTCTTGGAAAACAAGGCAGGTAACCTGGCCATTTCAATACTACATGGTAGTTAATACTAGTAGTAGGCAGAGAATGTGCAGTGTGCAAGAGAGTAACAGAACATCTCCTGCCTACTCAAGGATGGCAAACACTGTCAATTTTACTCCACTTAATTCCCTAACATAGCAGGTATTTGGTATCTATACTTAGAAAACAAGAAAATGGGCTCAGGGAGATAAATGTGCTTGGACTAGCATAAATCAGAACCAAGAAAAAAAACAGGTTTGACTGAAAAAACACAAAAAACAAACCAAAACCCCAAAACCAACCAACTTGGGATTTGTTCTACCATTCTCAAACACTTATATGAGCCTCAAAGAGCCAAAAACATTCAAAAGAGGAGATTACTTCTGAGCTGAGTCTTAATTCTAGAAATTAACTAAGTAAAAGAATAACCCTAGGAAGGAACAGCTTGAATGAAGGTGAGATGTGGAGGTGGGGACAGAGGTTGAAGATGCATGGAGGAGAATTTGTTACTCAGGCACAAATAGCAAGGAAAGAGATAGGTCTTGGGTCCTTGATAAAAGTTTTCATTTTACTCAGTAAACTTGAAATGGTTTTAATCAAGTAAGTGATTGATGAGATCTGCACCTTTCTCTAATACAGTTTAGGGACGAACAAGGACACTGATTTGTCAGGGATTTCCTCTAGTACAGAGAGCAGAGATTAGAATAGCTACTGCATTTTATTTTATAACATAGAATAAAAAAAATTAAAAAAAAAGAATAGCTACTGTAGTAGCAGCAGGGATAGAAACAAGAGGCTAAGTTCTATATCTATTTAGATACAATTGGTAGGATTTGTGGATTGATATAATCATATTAAAGACAAAATCAGTAGGACTTGTTGATTGAAGGTGGTAGTGGAGGTAAAGAAAATTAGAGCCTAGAATGAAAATTAAGTTTCTGGCTTGGTTGAAAGAGGCATAGTACTGGTCATTAAGAGAAAGAAACAGAATTGTCTGAGATTGGAATGGAGGGAGGGAAGTGTTGAGTTTTCACACACCTTGCATTTGAGGTATCAGTCACTATTGGAAAGTCTCATTTAGTGAGATGATGATGGCTGTGGATGGCCAATGATTTCTTCCAAGGGACAATGGGTAGGATGAGAAGAACAAAAGATGGGACAATGCCAAACACCAACATTCAATCAGTAAGCAGTGAAAGAGGAAAAGTGAAAGTGGAAGACACGTGTGGTCAGAGAGGTTAAGTCTTGGAAGCTAAGGAAGGAGAGTGGGCAACGATGACAACCCGTAAGACAAAAATTGATGAGTGTGCAGTGGATGAAGCAGGGAGGCCAGTTTCTTAGTAAGCTCAGTGACGGGAGCAATGTATAAAAGGCAAAAGCAGAGATCACATTACAGTGGATTGAGGAGTAAAAATGAAGAGCAATAGTGCACATCATCAGTGTACATAATGTTTTGGAAAAGACTGGAAGAAAAAAGAAGAAATAGAGGTAGGGGCAACCAAAAGTGCTGAATATTGAATTCTGCAAGGGAATTTGAGGCAGGAGTGTGGAGACCTGAGTATAACGGAGCAGGACAGGTTTGGGAGTCAAGTGCAGCTCACAGCATTACAAAGTTAGGGAGGTAAGATGTCTGTGGCAGCCAATGGTTGAGGGTTCAGCACAGCAAAATAAGGGGTCAAGCCACTGGCAAGGCAGAGGGCAGGTCAGCTCTGCTGGCAGGAAAACGTCAAGGAGTGAGTAGCGTCTTAAGCAAAGCTGGGAAGTTGGGTGTTCCCCAGCCTGTCACAGGATCCCAGCCAGGGCCGGAGCAGAACCCCTGACCCTCCACTTCTTCATTCAGACAGGATTCGTGGCAGCCATGGGTCACCTAAGGAGGAAGTGAATATTAGATGTGGGTTTTGTAGTTCCAGTATTGCCAAATTGCAGCTCTGCACCCTATACTCTCCAGCCCATCAGAACAGTCCTAAATGGAAGACCCTTGATGAGATGGATTGATTCAGTGATTGGGGTAGCGGGAGCAGGTGTGTCAGAGATGGTGAGGTTGGCACAGGATAGAGCAGGGTTTAGGGCTCTTGTACATAGGGCCGCTAAGAGTCACAAGCGACTCGATGACACATAACAACGAACAACAACATATTGATATGGAAGTATCTACACCTTTCTCTGTATGCTCACATCAAAGAGTCCTGCTCCACGCTTCTGGTAGAGCCTTGGATTGAGAAAGCCAAGAGGGGGCCGGCCACTGAGGATTCTGTGCTCATTTATCAGAGACAGGAGTCCCCCAAATACTGGAGTAGAAGCCTGAAAAAGATAAGGATTCAAGTAAAGTTCAGTTCAAGTAAAGATCAGGATTGGGGCATGACTGGACTTATGTGGGCAAAGGGAGGATATCTAGAAGGATTGGAGTCAGGGTTCTGGGTACAAGGTCTTGGTAGTAGGGCGAGAGAGTAGTTCCTGAATGGGGTTTTGGAGTCAGGTTTAGTCTTACCGAGGTGCCAGACACCCATGGAGTGGGTATACCGTTGCTGACCACCCAGTAGCCATCAGAGAGTGCAGCCACATCTGGGTAGGCACGACCACTGGCATTGAAATAACTAGATGGTGGTAAATGGGGGCTGGAGCTCAGAAACCGGGCTACAGCTTCCTCCTGAAAGACGTTATTGAATAAGTGTTGGCCTGTGGACTGCCCAGGAATCTGCTAGATTGAGAGGCCTCATCCCACCACCATCTGTCCATACACACACAGACGCACGTACCTGGTATGAAGGCCGCGGAAACACATTACTGAAGCCACCACCACTGATATAGTCAACAATCTCATTTGTCACACGGAAAGGATTCTGGAAGGATGTGCCTCCCACTGTGGTGACATAGGGGCTGAGGGCAGAAGACAGCATGCAGATTGTAGGGGAACCCAAAGGGTCTGTCAAAATGTGTGGGGATAAATGACTTTGCCCTGGGTTTGCTAAAGGGACTAAATTCCATGAGACAGATTTAATGGTTGTAACAAAAAGATTTTGAGCTCTCAAGTCACAGACTGAGGTGACTGTTCACATTTTTCTCTAGAACCATCACCAAATCTTCATTAAAAAGCCTGAGAACTGGGGAGGAGGAGCACTAGGAAGAGACCTGACACCTGAGACTTATAGGAAGAGAGAAGTGTATGGCAAGGGGAACTGAGGAGTTGGGGACAGAGGGGTCTGATGAGGTCAAAGGTTCTACATCATGAAATCAAGGGTGAAAGGGAGGTGGTCACATGTAACTGGTGGGCTCGGATGCTTACCTGGAGGCAGGGAAGCTGGGACGGAACTGGTGTCTTCCAGAAACAGACCAACACCCAGCCCCACTGTCACCTGGGAGAAAAACCAAGTTTGGCCCTCAAGTTTGATCAGAGCTCGGTGGGTGGGTTCAGAAGTCAGAATGGACATTTAGGTGTCATTATTGCAGGAGGTCAGAGTTTAGAGGTTAGGTAAATGGTCTCTGTTGAGCTTCAGAGTTCAGATATTAAGTCAGAGATTGGGCTTCAGGATCACTGTGGGTCAAACGTCACAGGCTGGGGGTGTAGTGAGTCTAAATTTAGGGCAGGTGGTCACCTGAGGCAAAAAGCAAGGTGAGGCCCCGCGCGGCAGCTTTCATGAACTCAGTGTTGACCCGCTGGATGTAGGCACTGCTCAGGGAGTCCTCATCATCTCCATAGCTCACCGTGTGCACAGGGGGCAGGGCTGACTCATTGCTGAGCAGGAGGAGCCACTGCAGGAAGGGCTCCTGTGCCTCATGCCGGCCTGCATTCAGGAGCGGAGAGAGCGCAGGGTATTAGCACGCTGCTACCATGGAAGGCGTCTGGGGCAGCAGGCATTACCCCCAGCCCCACCCTATTCCCCACCCACCAATCCCCCTCGGCTTAGTACCAGGACTGCTATACACCCAGGTGGAGATGTTGGCACCAGCACTCATCAGATACTGCACGTCAAGACTGGCCTCGATTCCGGCCCGGCCCCGGCCCTGTTTTCCAATCACTCGGGCTACAGATGCCTGGTGGACAAAGCTCCGACCAAAGAGACTCATGAACTTAGCCAGGTCTGAGTCATGGAAGTACTGCTCCAGGAACTAAGGAGGGAGTCAGACACTCAGGGTCAGAAACATTGTGTGGTATAAAGGAGGAAAGCTCAGTTATGAGTCAGAGAGCAAGTCCCTGGTCCCTGGGTGCTAACGACACTTTCCAGGTGGCATGGCACTAAGGACACCTTGGGGAGGCTGTGAGAACCTGGCTTTATTTACGTGGCTCACCTGAGCACAAGCCTGGCTGTTGTTGGTGGTCCCGGAGCCCACATCTTGTGCTGTCAGGTTGTACCGTTCACGGATCACAGATGGGGTCACCCCCATATGAAAGCCAACAGTCCCTGTCACCTGTGGCTCAGGGCGCTGCCTCAGGGATGATGTTGGGGGGAAGCGGTGCAGCCCCCCCACTGTGGGGAAGATCAGGCTTGAGGGGGAGCTCTTACAGACACCAAACCCCACGTTAATCCTGACCCCACCCTGGACCCCCATGACTCTTAAGCTTCCCCAGCCTTTGACCCTGTCTGCTCCAATCCCACTGTATATTACCAAAGTCCACATGAAGGGCCAAGGCCTGTGGGAGCTGGTAGGGGTGTGGAGACCTTACAACCTGGGTCTCTGCAGGTCCCCCCACATAGCGATGAAACTCAGCTCCAGAGAGCAGGAGTTCGGCCTGTCTGCAGGACAGAGACCAGAGAAACAAATCAGAAATCATGGAACAGTAGAGAGGAAGAAGCCACCCGAGTATCACTGGGAAGTCAGTCATCTCCCACATACAAGACAGCAAACTCCCACAGACAAGCACCTCAACAGGTCAACCTGCCTCCCATTGGAATGACTCGTCTCCTTGGCAGTTTATCTGTAACTGGGCCTTCCACAGCTCAATCATATCCTCTTACCGGACACTCAGCCAGCAAGTCAGAAAGTCCTGTGTAGTCACTGAATGACAATCCCGGGCTCCAGCTGCCAAGAGCCATTTTTGGACTGTCTGAAGGGTCAGTGGTGATGGCCGGACCAGCTCAGCCACGTCCTCGAGGGTCAGGTATTTTCCTGCAGGGATTCAGGAGAAGCTCTTATTTCTGTCACTTCTTTCCCAGGCTGGCTTCTTTAAACCCAGGTGACATCAGGACTTTCCAGCCCAGAGCAGAATCTTGAGCAATGAATTGGGACTTCCTAGCAAGAAGGAGGGCTGTACAGGTACAGAGCACATTGAAAAAGGGGGCAGAAGAGGCAAAAAAGACTGGAGAGACATGGATGTCATGGCTACTACATAGTATGCATTGCCATGATACTGAAAAATAAATTGGGCTAATAAATGGATATTTTTCATTTTCATTTTATCTCCAATAAGAAAAAAAGTTGAAACCTTTTGAAGCCAACTCCAAGATGGCATCTAACATATCTCAAGTTTTTATACTTGTTGATTTTAATCTTAGCTGATGTTGCATAACTGTTTCCCTGCACACGGTCAGGTACACTAACGCTCCTGGCTCCTGAGTGAGTGTTTTATCACTTCCCCTCAGGGGGCCCCCTTGCAGTGAAGGGCTGGACATAGCTCAGCTGGACCATTAGAGACTGGAGCAGAATGGGGGCGCGGGCACTGCAGAGACCAGCCAAGGATTTGGGCAGTCATCCAGGACGGAAATGAACAACTAAGTTGGTGATAATGGGGGAATGGAGAGAAGGGACTAATCCAAAGGTGGCTTAGCTCTTGGCCGTGGAAGCTTTAGAGTCTGAACAGAGGGAGAAATGAGAGTGAAGTGTGTGGGAAGAATTTAAGACGAGAAACACCTGTATCTACTAGACACCATTCAGCTGCTAGTTAGCTAGCTGCACGGCCCTGAATTTTATTCTAGAGCTGATAAACCCACACCCTTTACATGCCCAGCTTTCACCTTTCTAGACTGAGAAACAAAAGTGGAAAGATGTGGGAGAGAGAGTATGAGTTTAGCTTTCAGCAATTACATCCTACGTCACCCCTTCTATTGAGAAACTCTGCAGCGAGAGCCATCTATCACTTTCCTTGATGTGATAGGACATGACTCAGCGAGCATGACTGACACGATGTGCACCATCCCCAGCCCAGCCTAGATTTGTGCTCCTCCACCCCATTCCACATGTAGGCACCGTATTGAGGAGAGGTAGGATCAGACACCGCTTGCACCAGCTTGGCAAGTCTCTTCAAGTTCTGCTGTTTCAGCGCAAAAGTGAGACTTAGCTCTTCCTCAGGGTCCAAACGGCCCAGGGACACCCAGCCTGGGGGCAGTCTGCAGGGTAAAGGATCAACGTTAGGGGATACAGCTTCAGTGTAGAGTGAGGATGGGAAATACGAGGACATTTCCAGGGTCGAGGCTGGGATATTAGGTGGATTTCCAGGGGTGGACATGGGTCACAGAAAATGAAAGATGGGACACAGAGCTTTCCTGAAGAGGAAGTAATGGAGTGGCTTTCCAGGAGCTGGCGATGGAGGCTAGGGCCAGATACTGTATGCAGGACAGCACAAGGGAAGGGGCTTTCGGTGTTAAGTCACTCACGTCCGCTGTTGGTCGGGCTCCGGACTGTAACTGCATTTGCCAACGACGCTGAGGGAAAGGAACCCCAGGAGGCTGCAAAGGGAGAGGCAGGCAGGCTTCAGCCGGAGTCGGGCTCCCTCAACATGCACTCCTCCATCCCCTGCTCCTGGGACCCCCTTTTTTTCTCACCAGGTTCGGAGCCCCATTCCGCCTTTCTTCGGACTAGCTGTCATGTGATGTATGTGACGAATCACATGACCCCCTGTAGTCTTTCTACCAGCACCATTGCTCAGTGAGCGGGGCTCCTCCCTCGGATGGGCGGTTCCATTAAGTCCTTTGTGGCAAGGTTAGGGAAGGCACCACAAGGGTAGGGACCCTGGGTTCTCCCTAGCTATATCAGGGATAACATCACCTGAGCTTAGGTCTCTTCATTTATAACAAAGACATATTCAAATGTATCTGCCTCACAGCGTGGCTTGGAAAATTTACACTGTGTTAGAGCTGGCAGATGGCTCAGGCAAGAAATTTGACAAGGCAAAGCAGTAACACGTGAGCTCCTGTTACAGTGGCTACAGAGCAGTTCAAGGAAAACAAACGACTTCATTGCTGGCTTCCCTAGGCCAGCTGTCCCGGGATATGATGGTCATCTTCAGCCTAGGTTCCTGAGCTCTAGGACCACCCCCATCCTAAATGTTCCCCACATCAACCACATCCCAACCATTCCTGAAGCGTCCATTTCCAACCCATCTCCCTACCCCACAGAACAGAGCCAGAGACTGAATAAAAACTGCAGTTTATTAAGGCTCCAGAGTGAGAATTGGCACTTGGTTCCGGGCAGGGGCAGGGGTGTCAGTGGAACCCAAAGGAGCTGGGCCCAAATAGGTTGGAGGGACCTTCCCTATTCCCCTACCTCCCAATAAATAAAGTCTCAGCTCCATCCCACGGTGCTAGCACTGGGCACGAAGCCCTTGGGGAGAGCCCAGGGCTGCTCCCTCCTTCATATTTCCCCCCACATTAGACCTGGCTCTCAGGTCAGCGCCCCAACAGGGCCTCCCAGGTGCTGGTGCTCTTTTGAGGGGCTGGGATGTGGGGCCTGCCCCCATTTGAAGAGTTTGGGGTGGGGCTCTAGGGCCCAAGGGTGGCCTCCCCTGTGGCCAATCATGGTCCGAGGCAGCCTGGGGCAGGCTCAGAATAGGGCCTGCATTGGGGACACTGAGTGTATCCCAGGTCAGGGCCAAGCCCGGGCCACAGCTAGATGTGCAGCTCTGTGTCATCAGGCGGTTCTAGGCCAGATTCTGAGCTGAGTGCCGAGGCTGAGGGGCCCTGGGCCACCCCAAATGGTGAGACAACAGGTGAGCGAGCAGCCAGGGGGGACAACGAAGGTGAGAAGCTGGGGGACATGGCAGCTGAGGACAGGGAGCCTTCGTGGCTGATAGGGGAGCGGTGAGAGGCTGGTGGGAAGATGGCCCGAGCTGCGGCCGTGCTGGCTGGCTTGGGGGGCACAGACTTAGCTCCTGGGTGGGCCACAGCAGTGATGAGGGGTGGAGGGTCAATACGGGGTGCTGGGGGACACGGCCGAGCTTCATCTTTGAGTCGGGCGATCTCTGTGAAGACGCTGGCCAGAGGCTGGAACTGAGGGCACCAGCTCAGCAGGTAGTCCCAGTTATAGCTGCCACGGAGCTCCTCCTCACCAGCCACGATGGCTGTCAGCGCACCTGCCACACAAGGCTTGCCATCTGCTGGGAAGCCATAGTCCCCAGTGGGTGCGGGACTGAGACCACAGCCTCCCAGGAAGGCCGTGGCTGTGGCTGGGGGGCCTTCCTCCCGGTACAGAGTGGGTCCAGTGCCGGGCAGGAGCAGCCCTGCTTTGCGGCCCTTGTACCATGTGTCAGGGGCTGGTGGCTCGCAGGATGTGTCACTCAGTCCATCTGCATCCTGCTGGATGCCTGAGTCAGGGCCGCGGGCAGCCAGAGAGGAGGCCACACTGGCCACACGGGGGAACTCATTGATCATGCGGATCTCGTCATCTTCAGCAGCTTCTGCCGAGCCTCGGCCACTTGAGTGTGATGGGTCCAAGGAGCCACCTCGGGGATAGGGTCCTCCGGCTCCTGGTCCACCATAGCTGGGGAGAGTCTGGTGATAGAGGTGCTCTGAGGGTGGTGGGCTAGGTGGTTCCCGGCCCAGTTTCTGGAGGGAGCCACTGGCCAGGGGTGCTGCCTGTGACATTGGGCCAGGGGCTGCCTCAGCCTTGCGGTTTCGGGCCCGCACCAGCCCTAGGACCAGCGCTGCTAGTGCAAGCACCACCACCACTCCCAGTGAGGCTGCCACAGCCCCAACCAAGAGCAGGTTGAGGTCAGGTGCCAGGCCCAGTGCAGTGTGGGTGATATCCACGGTCACGGGCACCGTGGCACTTCGAGAAGCAGGCAGTGGGCCCCGGGCTATCACTTCCAGTCTCATTTCCCGTGGTGCTTCACGCCGCGTCCGGCCCCCACCCCCAGAGGTACCTGTCCCACTGCCTGGTGCCTGGCTGTCCACCCGCAGGTACAAGGCACCTGTCGTCTGGTTGATACCAAAATAGGGGGAGGAGGTGGCAAGGGAGTAGAGAACCAGGCCATCAGCACCCCCATCCTCATCTGTAGCCTGCACGTGACCCAGGCTATGACCTCGCCGGGCACCTTCTGGCACTTGGAAATGGAAAGCTGGCGCCAGGAATACAGGATCATATTCATCCTCGCCAGTCACCAGCACTGACACAGTGACCGAGGCTGAGAGATTCCCGGCATCAGCAGCCCCCACCAGCAGCCGAAAACTTCCTGTGTGCTCGTAGTCAAATGGCACTCGTGCTCGTAATTCCCCTGTTGAGCTGTTCAGCGCAAATGCCTCCCGGCCCTCAGGTCCCGGGCCAGCCTCCAGTAGGCTGTAGTAGAGCCGCCCGAACGCTCCGGCATCCGCATCAATTGCGTGCAGAGTAGTGACAAGAGTGCCTGGAGGCTGATTCTCTGCAAGGCTAGCACTGAGCAAGCTGAGTGGAAAGGCTGGGCCATGGTCATTCACATCCTGGACCTCGATCGTCACTGGTGCCAGAGCAAAGTGTGCCCCGGCAGGGTCAGCGGCCTGCACTACAAGCTGATGACGAGCCTGGGTCTCGCAATCCAGGGGGCGGGCCAGGCGCAAGGTTCCCGCGTTCTCATCCAGCTCAAAGAGCCCTGAAGGGTCACCTGAACTGAGGGTGAAGCGCACAAGGCCATGAGGACCAGGGTCAGCATCAGACGCCTCCACATGCAGCAGCTCAGCGCCAACAGGTGTGTCCTCAGGTACTGCCATTCGGTAGGCCGTTCGGGTAAAGACAGGTGGGTTGTCATTGACATCCAGCACAGTGACAGTGACTGGCACTGCTGAGCTGCGGGGTGGCTGTCCTCGGTCGGCGGCAGCCACCGTTAGATTGTACTGGTTCATGCTCTCAAAATCCAGAGGCTCAAGCAGCACCAGGCAGCCCAGTGCTTGGGGGCCTGGCCCAGCACCTTCCCCAGCCTCAGCCAGTCGGGGCTCCAGCTGGAAGACTCGGCCCCGATTGCCACTGATGATGCTGTAGTCCACAACGGCATGGGTGCGGCTTCCGTCGGCATCGGTGGCCTCTAGTGTAAGTAGAGTGGAGCCAGGGGGCAGGTCTTCGGTCACAGTCACACGGTAGTGTGGCAGTGTGAAGCTGGGGGCATGGTCGTTCTGGTCCTGCAACTGCACGTGCACTGTGGCTTGTGCTGCCCGACCTGGTGCCCCTTGGTCACGTGCTTCTAGCACCACATCCACCACTCCTGGTCCCTCCTGGCCCAAGGCCATAGTTCCCACTGTCACAAATAAGGTCCCTGAGATGAGAACGAGACAGAAACAAACAAAATGGAGTTCAGAGGAGCAGAAGAGTGACCTTCCATGGACTCTGCTGGGACACCATGGAATGACTTCTAGGACGCAAAGTTCAAGGAATGACTTTAAGTCATGCAGTCAGCAAGGGCTTAAAATAGAGAGACAATGGAGGAAATGTCCCCCCTGGGCCAGACAGAAGGGTTAAGAGTTTAAGCAACGTTTCTAGCAATGAGAAGAGGATATGGCCCAACATGGTAAAAACTACGGGTTAGATCCCAGGGAAAGACGCACCGTTGTTGGGGTCAACAGTGAAGCCCTCAGCAGGTGACGCCAAGTGGTAGGAGATGTGACCATTGGCACCTGAGTCTCGGTCAGTGGCAGAGACGGACAGAATGGCACTGCCTGGGGGAGTGTGCTCAAGCAAGGTCACCTGGGACAGGAGGAAACATGTTCATGGTCAAGCTGTCCGGCTGCCCTGGTGCCCACTCTGCCTACATTCTGAAGACTGACCTCACTTGGGATCTGGCATAGTCTAGTGTAGTGTAATGCCTTAACGTTCAAATGAGAACTGTCCTCTTTCCTCCCTTTCTGTGTACAAGATACAGAAGCTGGACAAGGCTCACTTGGAGGATATGGAGGGGCTGGTCTGAGAATAGACTCATCCCCAGAGTACTATCCCTAGGTCAGTTCCTACATCTCTAGGTTCAGCCTACACAAGCCACTTCTGGTCTGGTCATTTCCACCCAATGGGGATAACTTTGGGCCCAGCTATGGAGATGTTCAGGGCACTGGTACCTGGTAGAGGCTCTGTGAGAAGACAGGTGAATTATCATTGACATCCTCTACAAGCACTGTGAGGTTGGCATGACCCTCATGAGGCCCATCATGTGCCAGCAGCTGCAGGAAATAGCGATCATGCTGCTCGAAGTCCAGGGGACCTGTGAGGGAGACTCGGCCTCCATAGCGGCCAATGCTGAAGGGATCCTGGGGCCCCGATGGGCTCAGTACATACCACAGTACCGGTCCTGAGTCCACATCATTTCCTGTTACTTGTGCAATCTCTGAGCCCAACAGTGCATCTGTAAGACATGGCACAAGTGTGTTTGGCAATGCCCAAAGTGTCCCAGGAGCCTGAGAGTAGGGAACCATGCCTTCTTGCCACCCACTGCACCTCTCTCTTTACTCAGCCCTCACCTTCTGGTACTCGGAGTTCCCAGGGCTGGGGGATGGTAGGGCGGTTGTCATTGGTATCAACGACCATCACTGTCAGGGTAGCTGAGCCCACCAGAGCTGGACTTCCTCTGTCTGTGGCCATCAGTACAAGCCTGGGTACCAAGCACAATCAGGCGTTAGGGGGAATCCTAGACAGGGCTAGGAGAACTTGATGAAAGCCTTAACTTGATGTTGATAGATCTTTGCAGGGCCAAGGGAATGAGGAAGGTTTAGGGCTAGGTTTGGAACTCAACAGACACAGAATGGAATCTTATGGTCTATAGGTCCAGGTCCTTACCGTGTTTCAGCCCAGATTTCACGGTCCAGGATGGCTGTGGTAGTGATGGTGCCTGTGGCTGGGTCCACGTGGAATAATCCCCGTGCCGGCTGGGATGCTGCTAGACTGTAGGAGATCTGTCCACCAGAACCTTGATCCAGGTCATCTGCTTCCACCTGGTGGGGGAAGGAGGCTGCTAAGTACAGGCTTGGTCACAAGAAGTCCTTCTGGCCCGTCCCTATGCTGTCACATGCCATACCTGCAACAGCGGTCCCTCCAGTGGCCGGGATTCAGGCAGGAAGGCCACATAATGGGGCTGCATGAAGCGAGGGGCATTGTCGTTGGCATCCTGCAGTGTCAGGGTCAGCACCGAGAAGGCAAAGGCCCCTCCGCTCTCTGCCTGCAGTACCAGTCTCAGCCGAGGGCTTGCCTCAAAGTCCAACCCCTCTGCAGAGCGAACTGTGATGGCTCCTTGTAAGGAGGGAAAAAGACATCAGTGACAGCCTTCTTGGTTGCCCTGGAACTGCCTCCTTGAGACTCTCCTTTATGGGTGGTTCCTCCTCCATCAGAGCTTCCTCTGATGCAAAGAATCTGCTTCCTGAGAAGCCCCTCCCATCAGTCCCCACTCCTGCCCCTTACCTGTGCTAGGTTGGATTGAGAATATCCCTTTTTCATTCCCACTGAGAATGCTGTAGGTGATCAGTCCATTTGAGCCCCCTGCATGGACAGCCTTGGGGGAGGCAATGGGAGTCCCTGTGGAGGACATACTGATCAGATCATGAGCACCTGACTGAGGGGCCTTGGGGAGCGTTTTCAGTAAGTACTCCCAGATCAGGGGTACAAAGCTGGGGGACCTGGCTGGGAACCCACCTGGTGGCGCATTCTCACGAAGGATGGCTTCACTACTAGCCCGGGGAAAGCGGGGTCCACGCTCAGACTCTCCCTGCAGCCCAACAACCACCACACCAGTGGCAGAGCGTGCTGGACGTCCAAGGTCTGTGGCCACAACAAAGAGGACACGATCCCGAGGGCCCAGGGATGCAGGCGAGCGAGCCACACGGATTTCACCAGTGTAAGAGTCTACAGTGGTGCCGGGAGGCGGTGTGCCTGCTAGCCGGTATAGGATGGAGGCATTGGCACCAGCGTCACGATCTTCAGCTCGAAGCGTGGCTAGGGCCAGGGTTGGCGTGCTGAGGCTGGGGCCTGGACGGGGCAGGCGCAGCCGCAGGGGACTGGTGGGGAAGGTAGGTGTGTGGTCATTGACATCACGAACTGTGATGGTGACAGGCACTGTGGTGCTCAGGGGCCCCGCAGCTGCCCCATCTACAGCACTCACAGAAAAGGAATAACTGGGGCATTGCTCTCGATCCAGGGCCACAGCCGTGCGCAGCTCCCCAGAGCCTGGCTCCAGCAGGAAGGCTCCTGCGGCCCCTGCTCCCAGGTAGTAGGTCACACGGCCATTGGCCCCAGCATCAGGGTCATGAGCCTGCAGCTGCAGCAGTAAGGTCCCCGTGGGTGCATCCTCAGGCACCTCCACCGAGTAGGCTGGCACAGGAAAGGATGGCGCATGGTCATTGGCATCCAGTACTGTCACTGTCACAAGCAAGGTGGCACTGAGAGCTGGCTGGCCTCCATCCCGCGCCTCTATCTTCAGCTGGAATGCTGGCTCCACCTCTCGGTCTAGTGGCCTCGTGGTGCCAAACTCCCCAGAAGTTACATCAAGGATAAAGGCTCCTGATGGGTCCCCGTCTGCATTGAGGTAGAGGCGATACATAGTGAACAAGGAGAGAAAGAGAAACTGAGAGGAGGACAGGGAAAATAAAAAAGAGGGAAAACAGAGAAACCTAGAAAGTAAAGATAACGTAGAGAATCTCTTCTTAGATTCATCTGGGGGCCTCTGGGAGTCACTGAGACCATTTTGGGAATTCCATTAACACAATGGGGGCCTCTGGGAGTCACTGAGACCATTTTGGGAATTCCATTAACACAAAACTATTTTCTTAGTGCTACTAAGACATTAAATGCCTTTTCCATTCTCATTATCTCATTATCTGTTTACAGATGTAAGCAGGGTGGAGTTGTTCAGCTGCTGTATGACACCTGGTGGCATCATCACTCAGATGCTATGTACCCTGTCTTATCTAAAATATTCTAGGTAGTAAGTTTCACATATATGTGTGTTCTATGGGCTTATTCAATTCGTGTTCTTACGAGCTACCTCTTAAACCTGCGATTTTGTTATTATATAAGCAATCGTCATTTGAAATTCTCATATTTTCTTTAGCCCACATAGAAACATGGCTAGAATGTTTCATTAGTTTGTCTTGCAATGATTTTGCAAATCTTTCTCAGTTTTAACACTGAATTCTGCACACTTTAATACATATAATCCACATAAACAGGAGCTCTTTCACAATTCCCAGTAATTCTGAAGAGAATGTGGTCCTGCAACCAAAAAAGATTTGAAAGGCACAGATCTACGGAGAGACAAATGAAAATGGAAAAGTAGTTGAAGACACAGGAGAGATAAAGAGCTGGAGAGGTGACTACAGACAGAAATGTGTGTGTGAAAGAAAAAAGAGGTGAGAGACACCGATGGGAGCAAGAGGAGACAGGCACATTGACTGAGGCTAACACAGGCCAACAAGGAGCAAGATGAGGACAAGAACAGGGCAAGTAGTGGATATGGGGCAGTTCTCACCCAGAATCCGGTACTGCAGTTGCCCGTTGGCTCCTACATCAGGGTCAGAGGCACGCAGCATGGTGAGAGTCTGGGGGTCCTGGCCCTCAGGCACCTCCAGGGAGAGGTGCGCACTCCCAAAGGTTGGTGCATGGTCATTCTCATCCTCCACAATCACCCGAACTGTGACATGGGTCAACAGGGGTGGGGAGCCCCTGTCCCGGGCATACACTGTGAGGAAGCAAAATGGATGAGCTCTAGTCTGCTTCCATGCCATGGAGAAACCCACACTGCAGAGTGTTCATGCATGTTCACAAACCACACAATGTCTTGTCGCTCTACATCATCCAGGCATACAAGTACCTATGTGTATAAGTAGACATACACACATGTGCCAGAAGATGTACTTTTCCTTCTTATTCTTCATGCTTGGTGCACAGAAGATGTAGCCTGGATTAGTGATGGCAGGACAAAGAAAGGCACCAAATAAAGTTTCAGAAGATCTACATACGAGTCCCAAACCCGTCACTTTTAAAGTATTTGTTTGAGCACGTTGTCCTACAATCTGAGAGGAACAACTGTAGCATATGCACTTGAGAGTTTGTGTGGTGACAGTGGAAGAAACCTTGAAGTCAGTTCATCTTGCACTCTTAGCTCTTCCAAACCTTCTCATCTCTCCCCAAAATAACACAAAAGACACCACTGACATTGAGGTAATTCTGATTCAAAGTGACTCTGTGTTAAGAGTATCAGGGAGCTCCACCAGTTTTCTTGGTTTTAATCGTTACAAAAGCAGATCATCAGGCCTTGCTTTTTGTGCCTGCCACTGGGTATGTAAGTGGTTTAGAGCAAACTGCTCTACCGAGGGACCTCCACTCTTCAAAGGGGTCCAAAAATATAACAGATGATATGCTATGTTGTTGTAATGTATGTACTATTGAGTGTGAGCTGACCTACAGAGGACCCTCCGGTGGGTTTCCTCAGGCAGTCACACAGAAGGAGATGGCCCATCTTTCTCGCACTGAGTAGCCGGTGGATTTCAACAGTGCATCTTCAGGACTGCCGTGCAGATTCTCACCACCAGGCCACCAGAGCTCCCTACAGGCTATGGTAGATAGAAACTTTTAGAAGTAGTGCTTTGGGGTTCTGCCCACATAACACTGATACAGCCCACCACACACCTGTCGTCCTGTTAACTCATACCTGTCAGGTTGATCTCCTCCTGTTCTTCCCGATCCAGGGCTCTAAGAGTAGTGAGAACACCAGTGTCTGGATCCAGTGAGAAACTTTCTCCTGAAACACCTCCATAAGTCACTTGCCCACTGGCCCCTGAGGAAAGGTAGTATGGCAGGAAGATCAGATATAAATACAAATTTGTTTTCCCCAGAGCATCTTCTTACTCTATTCCTTTAGTTCTTACCCAGGTCTGGATCTGTTGCCTTCAAAGTGAGCAGAGACGTGCCAGGTGGGCTGTTCTCCCGTAAGAGCACCTTGTATTCCTGCTGTTGGAAAGCTGGTGCCTCATCGTTGACATCCGCCACACTGATGGTTAAGAGCTGCGTGGCTGACCGCGGTGGGGAGCCGTGGTCTGAGGCCACCACCGTTAAGACATGTTCAGCTCGCTGCTCACGGTCCAGGGGCCGCATCACAGACAATGCTCCTATGTAAGCAGGATGGCCAGTTGGAGAAAAGGCTCAACATTCCTTCTACATCATATGTCTTCCGTGCTCCCACCTTCACCCATCTCTCTCACCTGTGCTCGAATGTAGCCGGAAGAGGCCATCCCCGACAGATGCCAGGCGATAGGACACGCGTGCGGCCTCCCCCAAATCTGGATCCAGAGCAACCACGTGGAGTGCCGCGGGTCCCGGCGGATGGTCCTCTGGGAGGCGCACCCGAGAAGGCGAAGCAAAGACAGGCGCGTTGTCATTCTCATCTGTGACAAACACGCGCGCTGATACTCGTGCTGCGCGGCGGCTGCTGGCGTTGGCTGGCCGGTCTGTTGCTTCTACCAGCAGCAGGAGTGCCGGTGTGGTCTCCCGATCTAAGCCCCGCGGAGCGCTGAGCGCCCCAGTGCGCGCATCCAGACGAAGGGCGGGTACGGGCGGCTCCTGGCGCACCAGGCGGTAGCGCACGTCGCTGTTTGGGCCCGGGCCGTCGGCGTCAGAGGCGCGGAATGTGTAAAGCACCGCGCCAGGCTCAGGGTTCTCAGGCAAGGCCAGCGCCAGGGGGTCGCGCGCGAATGCAGGTGCGTGCTCATTCTCATCCTGCACGCGCACCTGCACGCGCAGCAGCCGGGCTCCAGCACCTCCTGGCCCTTCAGCGCGCACGGTCAGCGTGCGCCAAGCCGGGCCGGCCTCGAAGTCCAGGGTTCGAGCCAGGTACAAGCGCCCTGACGCTGCATCCAAAGCAAAAGTGCCCTCGGGATCGGCGCCGCCCACCAGTGTGTAAGTGAGTGCGCCCACGCCAGTTGGCTCTGGCGGTGCCACTGAACCTAACAGGGAGCCTGGCTGCAGCCCTTCGGCAGCCTTCACTGTCAGCACAACAGGCACAGGGGTCACTGGGTCCGGCTCGGCGGGATCAGGGGGAGGCTCAGCGGAACGAGCAGAGGGAAGCACCTGTGATGGAAAGGGAACAGCATGGAGGGAGCCATGCCAAACGAAGTGTGCGCTCAACAGTCTCAACAGTCCAGTGAGTAGGAAGGAAGAGTGGTCATTGACCTGACAAGGAGTCCAAGGGCTTTGTGACGCTGGAGCTACTAGAGAGGGCCACAATGACCACAACAGACAAGTTCTGCAATGGACAGACTGTAGGAAGGGCAGCCATACCTGCACCAGCAGCTGGAGGCTGGCACTTCGAGAAGGACTGCCTTGGTCATGAGCGCTCAGTGTCAGCACATAATGGGGTCTCTCTGCTCGGATGAGCGGTGCGGCAGTGAGCAGCTCCCCAGAGTGAGGGTGCAGGGAGAAGAGCTCTGCACCTGGACCTATGAATGAATAGGCAAAGGCAGGGTGAGGGCTGGAGTTCCAAAGCCAGGCATGCTGTGCGGCATCTCATTGCCCACCTGCACTCCTCTCTACATCCCATACCTGTGAGCGTGTACAAGATGGTCCCATTCTCCCCCTCATCTGGGTCCTTGGCCTGCAGAGTTGTCACCAGTGTTCCTGGAGGCACACGATCTGGTACCTGTGTGGACACAACTCACCTACAGTTGTCTCCTTCCTGTTCTTGAGACAACTCAGGATGGACTTCTCCTCACCTGTGTGCAGGCACAGTCCCTTTTTTGCTCTTACATATATTCTGGGCAGTCTACCCTACCTACACTTTGAGTTCTACGGGAACACTCCCACTCCCTCTCACACTTCCGGGCAGAGTTGTGCTGCCTCACATACCTGTATGGGAAGGCCACCACCAGCGGCTCCCGAGGCCTGCAGGAAGGTGGGGCTGTTGTCATTGAGGTCAAGTACTGCGATGTGCACAGTGCCGGTGGTGCTGCGGGGCGGACTCCCCCCATCCTGCACTTCTATCAGGAGCTGGTAGCTACTCTGTCGCTCTCGGTCCAAGGTCTGAAGTGTGGTCACTTCTCCTGAGAGTGCAGGAAGGGATCATGAATGGGATAGCTAGGAATATACAGGCTGAGGCATATAGGTGAGAAGCTAGGATCTGGGAAGTGTGGGAGGGAACACCAGTGATACCAGTCTCAGACTTGGGAGTCGGGGTCTTGGGTTGGAGGTTAGGGATCCTATCTGGGTACTAACTGTTCAGGGGATGGGACCGTGGGGCCTCAGATTTTGTGTCCCAGTGCTCACCAGTCTGAGGGTGGATGCGGAAGGCCTTGCTGTCTTCTGATAGCTGTCGTAGACTGTAGGTCAGACGTCCATTGGGACCAGAGTCTCGGTCAGTGGCAGAGACTCGGCCAGCACTGGTCCCTGAGGGCTGGTTCTCGGTCACAGCCAGGAAAGTGGGTTCCTCAGACAAGCGGGGACTGTGATCATTCTGACTAAGGATGCTGACCCTCACAGTGGCTGTGCCCGTTTGCTGTCCCAATTCCGTTTTAGACCCAGACACAGCCATTACCTTCAGTGTGTATAAATCCTGGGCCTCACGGTCCAATGCTGCCCGTACCCATAGCCACCCACTCTGTGGCTCTAGGCCAAAGAAGCTACTCGCCCCATCTGTTGCAAGGTGGTAGGTGACAGGGGCCCCATCAAGTGCTCGGGCCTGCACCTGCAAGACTCGAGTCCCAGGGGTCGTACCCGAGGGCAGGTCCACCCGATAGGTAGTGCTATCAAAATGAGGAGCCAGCCCACGAGTCCCCAAGTCCTGCACCACCACCTTCAGTCGAAAATGGCTAGTACGTGGTGGGGAGCCCCCATCACGGGCTTCCAGCTCCAGTTCATAGGCTGGCCCCCCTGGGGGCCCCAGCGGTCCCACAAGCCGTACGTGGCCTGTGTTTGGGTCTACGGTGAAGGCCCCACCACCTCCAGCAAGCAGAGTAAAGGTGACTCGACTGTTAACACCCGAGTCGGGGTCCAGGGCCCGCAGGGTGTAGATGGGGGTTCCTGGGGCAGTGCTTGGTGGCAGCAACACTGTATCTTCAGGTGCAGGGAATGCAGGTGTATTGTCATTTACATCATCCAGCAGCACACGGACACGAGCCACAGCAAAAACTGGGGGCATGCCACTGCCAGCCCGCACCTCCAGCTCCAGCACTGGTCCCAGTATCTCCCGGTCCAGAGGTTGAAGTGTTTGTAACATCCCTGAGGCCCCGTCTAGGGAGAAGAGTCCCCGAGGATCTCCACCCGACAAGGCAAGGTTCACAGGCCCCAAACGACCTAGGGAGGAAGAAATGGAGGGAGGTGTCAGGAAATAAATAAGGCCACCTATTGAGCTGGTGCTTAGAATCTGATCTCAAGAACTTGGCAATGCACACATCTGTGCCTTTCAGAGTACTAGCAGGAGTCCGTGCTCTCAGGTGTGAGCAAAGAAGCTAGATGACCTCGACATGGCAATCACGTGTCAAGAGATGGAGCAGTGTGCCCAGATCATGCCTAAGCAGGCTGGAGGCTGGTACCAGTGTGTTTTGTATTGGAGCTCTCTGTGGCTACCAAAGGTACCTTAAGGTGGTGCTTATGGGTTATAGTAGGGTGTCTGGGTAAGGCTTTGAATCAGTACAACGTTAAATGATACCTGGTGGGTTGTGTGCCTGGACAACGCCCACACTGGTGCCTGGTGCCACATCCTCTGGCACAGAGAAGACATACTGCAGTTGCTCAAATACAGGTGGTGCTGGCGTTCCAGGCACAATGCTGATGTTGACTCGGGCACTGGGCTCTGCTTTCAGGCCACCTCCATCCTGAGCCCCAATCTCGAGCTGCACCACAGAGTTAGCTTTTCTGGCCAAGGGCCAAGCTACTGACAACAACCCTGGGAGGAGGGACAGAAGCAGGGATACATGAGGAAACAACATGGGACAGAAAGGCTTTGGGAAAGGAGGGCAGCCCATTATTCAGACAGGAAAGGAGGGAGTTCTAAGGACAGGCCCTGGGAGAATCCTCACCTGAATGCTCATCCAAGGCAAAGAGTGGTGGGCTGTTGCCAGCCAGGATGTGGTAGGAGAGTCGCCCATGGGGCCCCTGGTCAGGGTCATGAGCACGGACTCTCAGAACAGCTGTGCCTGGTGTACTCTGGGCACTCAGACTGGCAGCATACTCCCGAGGATAAAACTGAGGTGGGTTGTCATTCTCATCTGACACAAACACTTTCACATACACCATGGACTTGAGTCCTCCCTGGTGAGACATGAGGCGACAGGTCAGGTGAGCCTTGTGAGCAGCCTCTTCCAATCTCCCACCTGCCCACCGTCTGCCCACTTACCCCGTCCACAGCTGTCACTGTGAAGTCAAAGCTTGAGGGTCCTTGGTCACGGTCCAGGATCCTGGTTGTGCACACATCACCGGTGTGGGCATCAATGCGGAATGGGGGAGACCCTGAAGCCCCAAGCCCAGCACCCAAAGAATAGGAGAGGAGGCCAAATGGGCCACTGTCCGCATCTGTGGCTGTCACCTGGAGAGAGGCTGGGGTGAGTGATGGCCACTTGTCTTGGAGAGGAAGGCCAGAGGCAAGTGACAGTTAGGAGGAACAGACTCTGGTGTAGCTGGTACCTAAAGTCTGGATGACGGACACAGCAAAGGGCATGGCCATCTAGTTAACAAGTGAGAGTCCTGCTGCCAGCCACTTCCCAAATGTACATATGCATGGGGTGGGGAGTCATGACACATCTCAGAGACGTTTGAGGGTTAGAGGTCTGCTGTCTCTGAAAAAGCAAATGGTCAGCCCTTAGAACAAGAATTTTCTCTATTTATTACCACCAGATCCAGGTGTCTATAGGCACCTGCACCATCCATCTGTTTCCTTCCCTTTTGCAGCAATAGAGCAAATATCTCTCTTTTCAGGGCTGATTTCTTCTCCAATGTTAAGTCCTTCGTGTTTTTCCTTTTCCTGCTGTGTCTCTACTCTCTTTCTCTTCATTAAAACACTCCATAAACAAAAGGGTAAAATCTTGGCTCCTACAACCATCTCTGGCAGAGGCCCTTGCTCTCTATTCGCTTTCAAAGTAAATGTCTTTGCTACATTCACTGACTCATTATCAGCATTTCTAGAGTCAATACATGCACTTCTCTTGATAAGATTCACAGTGTTTCTCCATGTTATTAAATTGGTGTACATTTCCATCACTGAACCTGTCTCCCTGAAATATTCTTTCCTCGGTCCTGTGATAGTGCATGTCTTGGTTTCCTTCTCCTCCACCCAATCTTTTCTATAGCTGTAGCCTATCAGATGGCCACTTTCAAGCTTTCTTCTCTGTCCTATGAGGACTGCCTGTTCTGGCCTCTGTGCTCACCTTTTCAGACTGATTTCTCACCACATCACCAACAAGATGGACTGACACAGTACTGAAACAATGGGCTCAAGGAGGATGGTCCAGGACAGGACCAGGCTCAGATCTATTGTTCAAAGGAGCACTATACATTGTAGATGACTTGATGGCACCTAACAACAACATTTTAAATAGATCACATTTTCATGCTTTTTTTGAGTCATGGGATACTATCTACCCCATCTTCCTTTTGAAAGCCTACCCTTCCTTCCCTTTAATCAGATCAGATTTTACTTTCCTAACCTCCATTCATAGATCAGCCCTTTCTCTTCTGCTTCTACTGAGCCATGTACTCTGACATGGATCTGCGTGGCCTTGTATTCCAGAAGCCAGACTGAAAGTAGAGATTGAGTTCTTTTGGTCACTACTGGCACACAAGACCTGGTACACAGTAGGAGTTCATAAAATTTTTGTTGAAAGATGACTACATTAAGGATACAAATGTCTCTACATGAGTGTTCTTGCTGCTCCAGGGAAAGGCTGTGCTTTGACCCTTCTCCATTCAGCATTCACTGAGCACAGACTCCATGCCAGCCTTATGCCAGGGGCATACAGCTGTGACCAAGACATTCCCTTGCTCACAATAAGTTTCACATAAAAAGTGAAGCAGATGCATAAACCGATTCTTAAAAAAAAAGACTATTAGGGGGATTGCTACAAATTCCAGGTTGATCACAAGATGTTAATAACATCACTGAGTCTCATAATCACCTCAAGCAGAGAACTGGTTGATAGAATTTTATGGATCTGATCTTTATTGAGCCTGGCTACTATAAGAACTGATCACTACAGAGTCTGCTTTACATATCTTTAGCTTCCCATCACCTCCCAAGTCAACCTCCCAGAGGGATAGCATTGAGAGTGGAAGAACTCTGTGCTTACTGGGTAGCACTGAGGTCATTAAGTCATGGGAACTCCTCAAAGTTAAGATGAGAAGGCTTTCCCAGTTAATTCTTGGGCATCTCCCAGAAAAGTTAGACAATTGAACAACAATGCCAGGAACTTCTGATCATTTCCGAGCCAGGTCAGCAGGAGACACCATTCTGAGAGCTCCCCAGCCTAGGGCAGGGCCAGGCACACAGTAGACACTTTATACATATTTGTTCACTGAGTAAACGGACGTTCCGACTGCGCTGCCTCATAACAAAAACTTCTTTCACACTAAGTTCTAAAACATTGGGTGTACATTAGACTCTCAATAGTGGGTTAGCTAGTGCTGGCAGCTTGAGCCTGTGACAAAGTACTCTTTGTGGATCCAAGGCCCTCGGGGTCATGATATGCTGTAAGAGGAAGCTGAAGAGTTCCCCTTCCTAAGCTAGAAAATGTTGCTTAGTGAGAGGGGTAGCCAAGGACTTCTGATTGTTGCCCAGGCCCTTGACAGAAGTGATTTGTGCCATTGTTTACCCTTCTAAGAGACACTAAAACCCTGCATGGCTGAGCCCTGGAAACAACTGCTCCAACTCTTTGCTGTGGCTGTGGGCCCAGATATCCCAGGAGACAAACTTCCCCCTTGCATCAATCTAGGCATGCAGCAGCACAGCTGCTGTACCATCTCCAGAAGCTGTTAAAGACCTTTGCCCTTTGACTCTCTGCAGGAAGAAAGCAATAAATAGTGGTCGGGGGAAGTTGTCAGGATGTGACCCCAAAAGGCAAAAAGGCTGTTACTGGAAATGACCAAGGCGGACGTGAGTTTCCTGGCCTGTGCAGCCCCTGTTCATAGGTTCCACTGCAAAGCAGTCTCCATTTCCATTCCCCAAGCACTCTCAGCCCTGTTGCACAACTGAGTCTTGGTCAGCTCCCTCCTACTCTGCCCAATAACTATTATACGCATCACCCTCTCCTCTCAACCCCAACCTACCTCTACCTCTCTGTAGTTGTTACTATCTTTTTTTAAAAAAATCATTTTATTATTTTTTTGTGTGTGTACCAAAGAGCTACGTTGGCCTAGTGGAAGGAAGCTGTGCTACCAAGCCAAAGGTGGGTGATTGTCATCTGTGGCCCTCGGCCAGGTTCAAATTGTCTTCCTGTCAAACATTCTTCTAGGTGGTATAACACTGGTCTGTGCGTTGCTGTACAGAGGTAACTCGTGCTGCTGTGATGCTGAAGCCTGTGACAGTGATGTGCCAATCGTGGTAATGGGCACCCATAGTGGACAGTTTGGCTGGAGCTTCCTGACTAAATCAAGCCTGGAAGCAGGAGCGGCATCCACTTCCAAAATGGCTTGCCTCCGGAAACTCTATGTACGAACAGTGCTCAGGCTGTTCGTTCATAGGGTCGCTATGAGTCGTCTACGACTCGACGGCATTAAACAACAACAACAACCACCACCATCAAATACGATCTGACTAGAGCAGGAGGAGATTGTCCCTCCTCCTCCAGCAGAGCATCTGGTGGATTTGAACCATGCACCTCTGTGATTACAGTGCAGCTTCTTGCTGTTGTTACTATTTTTAAAGAAAAAAAAAACACCACAAAAAACAAAAAACCCTTACCTATGAACTCTGAAGTTCTTATCAGACCGCAAACTTCTGCATCTGCCCCATCCTGATCTTGTTCCCAGATGTACTTCCTGCTTCTTCTGCTGCTTTGCCAGACCCTAGAGTCTCTCACTGCCCCACCTCTACTTCCTTGATTTCACTCTGCCTGTTCTTACACATTGTTGTTTACAGTGATCTCACTGGCCTCTTCTCACTCCCTCAGGTATCTCGCTTCCATTCCCATGTCTTCAACCATCATCTGTACTTTCACCTTGGACCGTCCCTCTGAGACTTATGTATCCAGATGCCTGCTCAACATCTCCACTCGGATGTCCCACAGGCACCTTAAATCCAACCTTTCCCAAACTAAACTTACAATCATTCCAAATCTTCTCTTAATGACTCTTCCATCCACGCAGTTGCTCAAGCCAGAAACCTGCTCTTCCCTTTCTCTCACCCGTTATAGCAATCAACTGAGGACTAAGGAAGTCTTTATTATCTCTTCAAATTGTCTACATCAGTTTGTTTTTTTAAAATTATTTTATATTAGTTTGCATGCAAAGCTCATTTACATTGTTTCACACATTCTTTCATTCACACTGTGTTTCATACAATCATTCCCATATTTTTCTCATCACTATTTTCACTGTCTTAATTTAAGCCTGTGTTGTCTTCGTCCTACACTATTTAATCCCCTTGTCATAAGGCTTCTCGCCTGTAGTATCCAACCCAACAAGCCATTTTCTATACCAATTTTTCATCCTCAGTGCTACTGATGTTTTGAATTAGATAATTTTTTTTAATTGTAGGAGTTGTCCTCTAAATTTCAGGGTACTTAGCAGCGTCCCTGGCCTTTTCCAACTAGATGCCAGTAGCATCCTGTCAGTTGCAAAAATAAAAAATGTTCTCCAAGCCGGGGGCGGGGCAGAATTGCCACTAGCAGACAATGGCTCTTTCACACAGACTGTCCAAAAAAAAATCTTAAGGGACCTCTGGTGGCCTAGTGGCAAGAAGCTGCACTGTAATCCCAGAGGTATACTGTTCGAATCCACCAGATGCTCTGCTGGAGAAGGAGGGGCAATCTCCTCCTGCACCAGTCAGATCTGATTTGATGGAACACACACACACACAAAAAAGAAAAAAATCTTTTGAGAAAAAAAAATAGGATATTACTATTCTACTAAAAAATTTCACTTGTTTCTAAAGCCACCTTGTAGCTAAATAACAAACTGGCTCAAAAAAATAATGAATGTCATTCATATAGACTGTGCTCCTTTAAAAAAATCACATGTGTAACACTAAATGGTCAAAAATTATAGTTTAAAACAAAATTGAGACTGTAAGGAGGAGGGGAAACCTGAAACTGAACAGCCAGATGAAAATAATAAGAATGTTCACATATTATAAAGACTGTAACCAGTACCTCAAAACAATTTGTGTAGACATTATTGAATCAGAAGGAATCTAAATTGCTATGTAAATAGTCACTGAAAACATGGTAAAATATTCTTTTAATAAAATCTTTAATGTGTAGAAAAAAATCTTTAATGTATAGAAAAAAGTTCAGAATCCTTCAAGTCTTGGTTATTCACCACCGTCTTGCCAACCTGAAGATTCTCATCTCTCACTTCATAGACTCTAAACTCGAGCAGTATTGAACTACTTGCAGGTACTTGCATGAATCAGGATCCTCCACTCTTCTGTGCATGTCACCTCTGCTTGGAACCTTTTTCCTCGCTGATCTAGGTCCCCCAAATAAATTCCTGCTCAACCTTCAAATTTTAACTCAAGTTTCTCCTGTGCTTATCTATATTCACCTGTATTCCCATCATGGACATTTTCCTATTACAATGTAACTTTCCTTATTCATGACCCTCATTAGACTATAACAGCTAATACTGCTGTGTTGTGAATCCTTCTGTCCTGACTGACACATAAAAGTCACTCGCTAAATCTCTATTGAAGTTATCAGGTGTTCAGACTTCTTATAACCATTACGAACTCCCAATGGTCATCTTTCCCCTTGCTTCCTAGTGGTTGCTAAGAGTAAAAAATGCCAAGAAGGCACCTGGAGAGATGCCCTCTTGCCGCTGGCACAGTTAGAAGGAAGAAGGTTGGAAGCCACAGTTCGTGGGCCCAAGGCCAGGAGGGAAAGTAACCACATGGAGTGTGTAGTGGGAACTGGACAGAAGCAGACAAGCAAGTGTCAAGAGACGAGCCAAATGACAGGGTCAGCCAGACCCAGGAACTGGCTTGGAAATCCAGGCCAACCAGCAACCCTGGGGAGATGCTCAGAAGTCTGGTGGATTAGGAGACAAAAGGCCTCAAGTACCAGTCTCCAGCCTCTCCTGCAGCCTAGAGACACACTAATGTGTAGCCCAAATAGTCCTTAAAATGCAAATAGCAGATTTCCAATAGTGCCTCTCTGGCTTCCTAGGATTTTTTCCCCCCCCTTATGTACTGTCTAATCAGATCCAACTGGCACAGGAGGAGATTTTTTTTAAGATAAAAGTCAAGGCTTACGAACAGGTCTCCACCTTCTTATCCTGTCTCATGTCCGCTAACCCTTTCTCATCAACCTGGCTGAGGCCCACCTGAACAACGCAGTCCCCTGAAACACATCATGGTGTTCTGTAGTTTTTTCCCTCTTTGTGCATTCCACGACACACGTCCATATTTATCCATTTGGCAAAGTCCCATTGGTCCTGCAAGCTCTAGCCCCCAACTACCCAATCTTTACCTCCTCTGGGATTCTACAGCACCTCACCAGCTGCCTGCTGCTGCACTGTGCTGGTGCTGGAACCCGTCTGGAGCCTCCCTTCTTAATTGCATATCCCTTCTCTGTTTCCAGGAGAGTTTAGAGGGTTGCTGACTCTCACTTCCTAATACTGCAAGACACTTTCTTTAGCTATACCCTTCATTCCCTCAACTGTCAGAATTACCTGGACTAGATGAGACCTTTTCACCTTATACCATAACTTTCATCACCCCACTCTTCTTCACTCAGAGGACAGAACTGAACACTGTGGTATAAATTACTATCAAAAGATGGACCTATAAAATCTGGTCCCCTGTAACCCTAAGCTCCACCTCTACCCTCACTGGTGTCCAACTGGCTACAGGGCCTACTTACCTGCAGGAAGCAGGTTCCAGGCTGGGTGCCCTCTGGTAGTGAGGCATTGTAGAAAGTCCTCTGGAACTGGGGCTCATTGTCATTCACATCTTGCAAGGCCACACTAACTGTGGCAGAAGAGGATAGAGGGGGCAGGCCCCCATCTGTGGCCACCACGATTAGCTGTGGCTGAGGTTCCAATTCATAGTCCAGCAAGGCTGCCGTAGTGATGATGCCTGAGATGGGGTCGATGGAGAACCAGTGGGTGTGGGCCCCAGGGGCCAGGCTATAGGTGACCTGTCCATTGGTACCCTGGTCAGGATCCCGGGCTGCTACTCTTACCACAAAACTGCCGGGCAGGGCAACTTCAGGCAAGGGCTCAGGTCGGAAGAGCTGGCGGTCAAAGGCTGGTGCATTGTCATTGACATCAGTGACATGCAACACAAACGCTGCCTCCGCCCGCAGTGGAGGGGTGCCTGAGTCTGTGGCAGTAACTCGCAAGTTATAGGCATCTCGTTCCTCCCGGTCCAGCCGCCGAGCCACGCACACCAGGTAGATGACACTGTCTTGGGTGCTCAGGGCAAAGTGGCCCTCACCACCTTCCAGGGAAACATTGACATGGGCAAAGTCACCATCGTCTGGGTCTGACACGGAGATGCGGGCAACAAGCTGACCAGGTGGGGCAGCCTCAGACACACGTGGGGAGCCATCCGCGCTCAGGAAGATGACAGTCATGGAGGGCTGATTGTCGTTGGCATCTCTCACGTGCACAGTCACAAAGGCTGAGCCCAGCTCTGGGTGAGCACCTCCATCCCAGGCCTGTACCACCAGCTCGTGGACACGCCGCTGCTCGAAGTCCAGTGGCCGCTCCAGTCGCAGCAGCCCCGTGTGTGCATCGATAGAGAAGGGCTCGTCACCCTCGCTCTGCCTCCGGTTGATCTCGTAAGTCACAGCACCATTAACACCAGCGTCGGCATCGGATGCGAACACCTGCAGAACAGGGCTTCCGGGGGCCAGGCTCTCAGACACCACAGCGTGGTAGCGGCTCTGGTTGAAAGCAGGGGCATGGTCGTTGACATCCAGAAGCGTCACATCCAGCAGAGCCTGGGCCCTCCGAGGGGGTGATCCTCCATCATAGGCTTCCAGCTGCAGCATGTAGTGTGAGCGGTTCTCCCGGTCCAGCTCTCCAGCAACTACCAGTTCAGGCACTGGAGTGCCATCTGGACCAGGGCGTGTCTCCAGCCTGAAGATCTCTCCAGCTCCGTCGCCAGACAGCGCATAGCCCTGGGTTCCTAGGTGGCCAGCATCTGCATCACGGGCAGGCTCCAGCGGGTAGCGGGTGCTAAGGGCCGTGTGCTCAGGAATCTGCAGGGCAGCCCGTGCCTGTGGGAAGGCTGGAGCATGGTCATTGATGTCAGCCACCCGTACTGTGACTTCTACGGTGGCACCGTCAGGAGTGACTGCAGTGAAGCGGTAGCGGTCCCGCCGCTCGCGGTCTAAGACGCGGGCTGTCCGGACAACCCCACTGTGTTCATCGATGGCCAGGTCTGTACCCACGCCGCTGCCCTCCTGAGCGGAGATGAAATACATGGGAGGTGCTGCCGTGCCTGCCGGCAGCCCTGCACTGATGTCTCCGATCAGGGTTCCAGCTGGCTGTTCCTCATCAATTTGCAGATCCAGGCTACCGGCCTGAGCCTGGACACCTGGCACCCCTGTTCCGAGCAGCAGTAGTAGCAGCAGCCACAGGGGCAGCAGGGCAAATGTCTGGGGGTACTGCATGCCAGCACAGTGAAGGGCAAGACTCGATTCCTTCTGCATGACACTGGCCGTTCCAGCCGAGCTGGGCCTCCAGCTCCAGACCAGGCTCGGGGCCCAGCTCGACCTTAGGCTGCTGGTCTGGTCCAACTTGGGCCCTGGCTCCAGCTCCAGCTCCCTGACCTGGGAGAAAAGCAGAAGAAGGAAGGGTCATGACACAAGAGTGAAAGGGGTCAACAGTCCCAGGAGACTGGGATCTCAGCCACACCAAGACTCAGACATGCTGAGCCCTTCGCAAGGCCTGCATGCTGCCTCACAGCCACTCCAGGAACAGGCAGCTCCCCATCCAGCTCCTCAGGGCCTGACCTGGTCTTCCCCTGGCAGTTTCCCTTCACACCCTGACCTTCCTCTCTCTTCGCAGATTATTCTATTTCCTGTTTTTCAGGTCTGTATGTTCTCAACCTCAATTCCTTCTATCTCTTAATTTGAAATGTAATCAATTCTTTCTCATGCTTCTTTTCATTTAAGACTAATAGCCACCCTAGCTACTGAAGCCAGAAGTGATAAGTATTGTAGATGTATCTTCTTCTCCATTCAACAAAAGATTGATCACCTGTCATGTGGAGGCACTGGGGATGTGACCGTGAAGAAAAAAAAATAGTCTCAGTTTCTTATGCTATAGTGCAGAGAGAGAAATTTTGTTGCTGTTATTGTTTTTTTACAAATGTGATAAAGGTTGTGAAAGAAAAGCAAAGGATGGTGTGAAGGTATAACGGAGGTTTAGTTAGTCACAGAGTCAGATAAAGCTTCTCTGAGAAGGTGGCATTCAAGTGGAAATTCCTAAGGAGTAGCTAGCTGGTTAGGCAGGGTGGACAGAGAAGGAGATACGGGAAGGAGAGCAAAGTATTCCAAAAGAATGAATGGCAAGGTCTAAAGCCTAGTGTCAGGAAAGGGATAGGAGTATTCGAGGATGGAGATGAGGGCAGCCGTACGATAGGAGGCAACTAAATGAGAGCGCTGGGGGCAAAGGGTATCTAATGAGGCCAGGCTCAATGAGCCGTATTGGTGATTTTAACTTTATCCTAAGGGCAGACGGAAGGCAGTAAATTATATTAAGCAGATAAAGACATGACACAGCTTAAATGTTTAAAGAACAATACAGCTGCTCTATATAAAACAAAGCCCATGCAGGTAGGCCATTTAGGTGGCCTCTGTACGGGGCTAGGAGGTGACACTGCTTTGCCAGTGACTTGGATGAATGATAATGAACAGATTTGCAGAATTTTTAGGAAGTAGAATCAACAGCACTTGATTATTTGTAGGCAGGGGATGAAGGAGTGGGAGAAGTCAGGGATGACGGGCAGGTCTCTGGCCTGACCATCCGCTGGACAAAGGTTTGTTAACTGGGCAGAAGGATAGAAAGTAAACCAGAGTAGGGTGGAGCCTCTGAGTCTAAAGCTCCATGGAAATATTTAGTGACTAAGAACCAAACCAGCAGAGAAGACAGCAGAGGCCAAAGAAGGAAAATTACCAGGTAGGAAAAAGGAACAAGGGGAAGCTCCTACTTCCTTAAAAATTTTGCTCATTTAACTCCATTTTCTCATACTCTCTTCTCTCCACACAGTGAGGATTTTTCTCTGGTGACATTGTTCTCACTTAAGTTTGGGAGCTCTGTGGCCTAAAGGTAAGGAGCTGAATTGCCAACATGAAGGTACGCGGTTCAAATTCACCAGATGCTCTGGGGGAGAAAGATGGTCTATCTCCAATGGAGGGAGCAGTGGTGGACTAGGGGTAAAGAGCTGCACTGTGCGATTAAACAGCCTTTGAACACCTGCGTGGAGGATCAGCTAGGGTCAGTCCCGACTCTACAGCACACAACAATCACCACCCCCACCAGCGGAGGGAGCTCTGGTGGCACAGTTTGTAGGGAGCTGCACTGCTCACTCAAAGGTAATACCCCTTGAATCTACCGGCTACTACGTGAAGGAAAGAGGGGTAATCTCCTCCCCTGGGATTTATGGCCCTACAGGAGGTCAGCTATGAGTCAGTTCCAACTCAACAGCAATGAGTCGAGACATTCAGTTGACATTCTGCCCTGCTACCAGATCATTTGGAACACTGAGACACTGACCAGGCACTCACTCATGCCTACTCCTCCCTATACTGTGACATTCCGCCATTTGCTTCCATTCTTCTTCTCCTCTATCCAACCCTCAATCCCCTACAAAAGTTCTTCTTCCTCTGTAAATCCCTTAAAAGCTAGTGTTCTTCAGAGCTCAGCCCTGAGCTGCTCTCTTCTCACTCTGCAAAGGTCATCTTACTCCCATGCCTTCAATTCAAACGTATCAATTGTTTTTTCATGTATTCTTTGCTGGTGATTTTCTAATTTCCATCTGTAGCCTTACTTAGACCTGGAGACCTCTGTCCAGTGATGCACTAGACTCCCTCCATTCTGTCTCCCCAACCTTCACCTCAAACTGTCTCACCCTCCACTGTCTCCTGTGAACAGAACCACCATTCACCCAGGTTCCGAGCCAGAAATCCAGAGAGTCTCCTTGTCCCCTCACTTTTCTTCAGCTCTAATATCTAGTTAGTCATCAAAACCTGACCACTGTGATAGTCTCAAGTCTTCTCCTCATCCCTAGCCACACTTCTGGAGCCCCAGTCTGAGCACCATCATCTCTCCCTTCAACTTCCGCAATGGTTCCTTACAGACCCCCTGCTTCCTGGGCTGCCCCTTCTGACCCAGAGATAGCAGCACACGCTGGAGAAATCACTTCTGATTGAAGGTGTCTACTGGCTCCCAATTATTGACAGCAGGTCTTCCTTAAAATTTGAGTTAGCAATTTCGAGGGCTTCCTGTATACCAGATAAAATCCAACATCTTAACTTTTTCTCCAGACCTGAATCCTCCTAAGCTCTTGTGCCCTTGCCTATACTTTCCCCTATCACATCTTGCTTTTCGTGACACTAAATCTATTACCATGCCCTTTCTCAAGTCCTTGCCTAGCATGTATTATCCCTTCATTCTGAGATCTTGTGAGAAGTATTTGTGACCATCTCCTATTAAAACATTAAGATCCAGTTTAAGTATGCTATCTTCTCTGACAATCCCTCTCCTCTCCCAAAGTAGTGTCCATTATATCCTCTATTGGGTTTCCACTACAATAAACGGCATAGTTACCCTGATTTGTTCATGTGTCTGGCCTCTGCACTGGACTAGAGGCTCCTTGAAGGCAGCGACGGGCAGCCATTCACTATCCAGCATTGCACAGAGGTAGAACATGAGCTGCTGTCAGTGCTGAATGAAAGTAGGGCCACAGAGTTTCATAACTTCATATCACCACACAATTTAGGGGTAAGAAATGTCCATGGACATGCCAATTTAGAACACACATGAACTCTTGTCCCTGGGATCCAGGGTTAGTCCAGTGGTTACACATGTGTGGCCTCTGGGTCTTTATAGATTTGTCCCTGCTTTAGAACTTCTTTTCTCTTAAGTTGTTGTTGTTGTTACGTGCTACTCATAGTGACTCTATGAACAATAGATCTGAACTCTGTCTTGTCCTGGGCCATCCTCACAATCTCTTGAGCCCAAAGCAGCAGTCACTATGTCAAGCTATCTGGTTAAAGGTCTTCCTATCTTTTACAGACACTCTCCACCTTTCCAGGCACAAAGTCCCTTAAGTCCTTCCCCCTCTCCCCGCTGTTTGTTATTTTATTATTAAAAACCCATCAACAGTTATAACTACAAAACACTCATGAGATAAGGCCAGTTTATAAGTATTTATATACCTCCAAAGCTAAAATCCTGTGCTAATTTACTTTTTTCTTTTTTAAAACTTGCAATTTTAACAAAAGCTTATAGAAAAGTTGGATTTTCATTTATTCATTGTTGCACATTTTCCACCCTTCCTCACTTAAAAAAAATTCATTGTTGCATAATTTCCTTCTCCCCTCATCCCTCCCCAAATCAACTTTGCTATGCACCTCTTATTCTGGACTGTTGTCATGCAAATAATGCCTACTCATATATTCCTTTTAAACAGTTCTTTCCTTAATCTGTTTCAATGTAGTGGTCATTACTTATCCCTTCTTTTCTTAGTTTTCTCCCAACCCCAAGTCACTCTTGTTTTAGAACAGTGGTGTTATGCAGTATTTGTCCTTTTGTGACTGAGATATTTCACTTAGCATAATGTCCTCCAGGGTCACCCATGTTGTGTAATATTTTATTATGTCCTTATTTTTCAGTGCTGTGTAGTATTCCACTGTGTAAATATACCATCGTTTTTCCATCCATTCATTTGTCAATGGGCACTTGAGTTGCTTCCATCTCTTTGCTACTGTGAATAATGTAGCAAGATGGTGTGCAATGAGGTCCTTTTCTAAGGGATAGCCTCTCCTAACAACATGCCCAAGGTATGTGAGATGAAGCTTTTCATCTTTGTCTCCAAGGAGCACTCTGGATGCATTTTCTCCAAGAGAAAGTTCTTTTGGCAGTTTATGGTATATTCAGTACTCTTATCTAACACCACAGTTCAGAGGCTGTTGACAGTTTCAATCTTTTCTCCATTTATCATGATGCCGCCTATCATCTAGTAGTGAGAATTTTTGTTTTCTTGATGTTGAGATGAAATCCAGATTGTAATCTGCAACAAGCTATTCAAGTTCACCTCACCTGCAGCAAATATGGTGTGTCAACTGCATAATATAGGTTACTGATAGGACTTCCTCAGATCCTGATGCCACATCCTTCTTCACAGAGTCCAGTTTCTTGCATGATCTGCTCAGCATACAGACTGAATAGATATGGGAAAAGGATATAACCCTGACACATACCTTTCCCCATTTTAAACCATGTAGCGGGCTCTTGCTCTGGACAACATTCTCTTGATCTAGAGATAGGTTTTGGATTAACACAATCAAGTGTTCTGGAATGTCCATTCTTCTCAATGTTAGCCATAATTTGTTATGATCCACAGAGTCAAATTCCTTCGCATAGTCAATGAAGCATAAACAGACATTCTTCTGGTATTGTCTGCTTTCGGTCAGGATGTATCTGACATAATAATGCTATCTTTCAAAGGAGGGGGGATACCTGACTCCCATCCCACTGATACTTCCAACTTACACGTCTTCCATCTATGTGGGACAATAACAAGTGCAGGGGTAATACC